CGAAACATAAGGCGCTTCAGGACTCCCGAAAGAAGAGGCTAAAGCACAAGGAGATTGACCACCGGCATAAGGAGCTAAGGGAACGATTAGAACTTACCAGGCAGTCTGAAAGTCTGAAAATGATCTGAAGGCACTACCAAGTGTAGAGCAGATTGTGGATGCAGTGTTTAAACAGTTAACAGAAGAAAACTTCCTTGTTAAAACAACAAATGGGCCAAGATACGTTGTAGGTTGTCGTGGGCCGCTTGATAGAAGTCAGCTGATACTAGGAAGGAGAGTCGCTTTGAACCAACTACACTAACCATCATGAGGTATTTGTCAGGAGCAGCGGCTCCTTGGTTTATATGTCTCGTGAGGATACTGGCAATGTTTCTTATTCTGAGATTGGAGGGCTGTCAGAGCTGGTTTGGGAATTATTATAAGTAATAGAATTACAAACCAAGGCATTATTCCAGTGTGTAGGAATAATACCTCCAGTGAGATGTTTGCTATATGGACCTCCAGGCACTGGGGAAACACTATTGGCCTGACCTGTTGCCCACCAGCCGGACCACAACTTCCTAAAGGCTGTTGTATCTAGTTCTATTGTAGACTAGTGCATTGGTGAAAATGCTTGTTTGACTAGAGAACTGTTTAATTATGCCAGGGATCACCAGCCATGCACCGTTTTTATGAATGAAATAGATGCTATTGGTGGCAGTTGGTTTTCTGAGGGTACATCAGCTGGCCGTGATTTTAGAGAAGTTTAATGAAGCTACTAAATCAAATGGATGGATTTGATATTCTACATAGAGTTAAAATGGTTATGGCTATAAACAGACCAGATACACTGGATCCTGATTTGCTGTATCCAGGAAAATTAGGCAGAAAAAAAATACATATCGATTTCCCAAATGAACAAGCACACTTAGATATGTTGAAAATCCATGCCATATTACAAAGCATGTGAAATAAATTCTGAAGTAACTGTAAAGCTCTCAGATGGCTCTGTGGAGCATACCAGAGAAACGTTTGTGCAGAAGCTAGTATTTTTGATTCATGCCCATCATGATTTTGGAGTTCAGAAAGACTCCATGAATGCTGTCAGAAAAGCAGCTGATTCTAAGGATCTCAAGTCTAAATTGGACTACAAACCTGTGTGATTTACCATAAGGTTTGATGGCTGCATAACAGACATTGGCTTAATGTAAAACTGAAGTTAAGGAAAATAATGTATGTACTGGCAGTGATCTCATTAAAAGTCAATAAACATACGTATGAGCAACATTATATAATTCGATAAAATTGGTTCAGAAGAAAGCTGTACGTTTGTTGATGTTGCATTTGCTGCAACAGAATTTACAAAAGACACGTTGACACTCTTCATATTTTTGAAAATGCTTCTCATATGCTTTGTGACCATTTAGTACATCATTCAAAATGGTTTGAGATAATAGATAATATTTCTAATGACTTATTTTATATTTTGTTTTCCTTGTCATAAAAAAAAGGAATAAGGGGACTGGAGAGATGGATCAGAGGTTAAGAGCACTGACTGCTCTTCCAGAGATCCTGAGTTCAATTCCCAACAAACACATGGTGTCTCAGAGCCATCTGTAAGGGGATCTGATGCCCTCTTCTGGTGTGTCTGAAGACAGCGACAGTGTACTCATATAAATAAAGTAATTCTTTTAAAAAATGAAATAAAAATTTGTTTTAGCTGTCCTATACAAAACAATAAAAAGCAAACAAATAAAAATATACCACAGGCATTAAAAAAGTATACACCAGGAAACAAAAATTATCCTTTATGACATCAATGGTATCACTAGCTGGGGATGATGGTACATACCTTTAATCCCAGTCCTTGGGAGACAGAGGCAAGAGGATTTCTGTAAGTTTAAGGCTAGCCTGGTCTATGTAGTATGTTCTAGGACAGCTAGCACTACATAGAAAAACTCTGTCTCAAAACAACAACAAAAGTATCATTATACACAGTACACACAGTTATAATCAAATTATAAGTTTATACAAGCTATGCTAATTGTCACCTTAACTATTTGCTTCCTCCGAGAGCACTCACCATTCTTCTCCCCCTTCACACCAGCCTCCAGTTTCTGTCCATGGTGTATGCCAGGGCATTTGATCTACACACTGTCCTAGCTTCAAATGCCCCTTGGTCTTGCTTTCTTCTGGAACATTCTGCCCTCCTAATATTTTGGCTAGGATTAATTAATGTCCTGTTTTTGATCAACACTACCTTTTTCTTCCCGCTGTCCCCACTCCAAGCTGCTGAATATTGTTGGGGAAATTCACAGAACTTATTTCTGTTTGGGTTCCCATGTATGCTGGCTCTGCAGCTCACCTCTCTCCTACTGCTCCTCCTCCCAATGGGAAGAAGAAAATTCTCATATAAAAACGTTCTGGCCAAGCAATGGTGGCACATGCCTTTAATCCCAGCACGTGGGAGGCAGAGGCAGGCGGATTTTTGAGTTCGAGGCCAGCCTGGTCTACAGAGTGAGTTCCAGGACAGCCCGGGCTATACAGAGAAACCCTGTCTCAAACAAACAAACAAACAAACAAACAAAAACAAAAAACAAAAAACAAACAAACAAAAAATCAAAAAATGTTCTGTTCCTTCAAAGTTTATGATAAATTCACTGAGCTAAGAGGTTATGTAACTAGAAATAGTAACTAGAAACATGTAACTATGAAACTAGAAATAGAATAAAACAAAGGTTTGCTTTGGTTTGGTTTGAAGCCTTTATCCCAGCACTCAAGTGGTAGAGGCAGACGGATCTCTGAGTTTGAGGCCAACCTGGTCTACAGGGTGAGTTCCAATATGGTCAGGACTACACAGAGAAACCTTGTCTTAAAACAAACAAACAAACAAACAAACAAACCAAAACCAAACAAATAACACCCCACAGAAAAACAATAAATAACAAAACAAACCAAAAGAAACCCAAAAGAAGCCTGTAATAGTAGATCTACCAAATTGACTTTATTTTAAAACCTCAATTTTCTTTTTTTAAATATATTTTATTTTTTGAGTACAGGTATTTGGTCTGCATATAAGTCTATCCACCATCTTGCTCACAGAGGCCATTGGATCCCCTGGGATTGGAGTTGTAGATGTTTGTGAGCTGTCATGTGTTTGCTGGTTAGTGAACAAAGGTCCTCAGGTCCATTGGAAGAGCAGCCGGTGCTCTTAACTGCTCTCTTCTGCCTCACAAAAACAAAAACTCAATGTGTGTGTGTGTGTGTGTTTGTGTGTGAATTCCTTTCCCCTATTTATTATTTCTTTTAGTGTTTACTATGAATAACGAGATTGTGTTATTTGATATATGGCTTTTCCTATTTTTCTCCTTCAACAGAAATTGTGTTACAAAATGTCACTTTAATCTTTTGTCCTGAAATCCACCTGCATGCAGTGCTGCTATCTGATTCCTTTATCTTCATCTGCCACAAACTGGTACTTTTTTTTTCAGTCTTGCATTTTCAAACTTTCAGAATTCTTTGAACACTTTCTTGTAAATCAGATTATGATGTTGGTGTGTTTGCTTGTGTAAGGCCCAGCTAATCCTCCACAGTTTTTGTGACGGCTATTCCAGGTTGTCAATGTGACTACATCTGGAATGAACTAAAATCCAGAAATAGAGGGCACACCTGTGATCTGGATCTTGAGGCTGAAAGATACAGGCTTCTGACCCAGATCTTGACATGGAGATCATGAGACATAGTGTCTATGAAAAGCTTAGGCCCAGGCAAGGTAGTACAGACCTTTAATCGCAGGCAACTGAGGCAAGCAGTTCTCTGAGTTCAAGGCCAGCTTGGGACAAAGTAAGTTCCAGATCCAGGTATGGAACTTGGACCTTGGAAAAATGAAGATTCACTCAACTCTTCTTTGCCTGCAAGCACTTGCCAGCATATCTGTTGGAACCTACTTCTTTAGATTGTAGTTTATACAGAAGAGCAGCTGAAATAACCTACCTCGTGGGACTGAGCAACAACTAGATTCTTGGACTTCCCATTCACAGCTACACATTGCTGTGTTAGTTCGACTACAGACTGTAAGCATTGTAATAAATTAATTTAATATATAGAGACATTCTGTAAGTTCTCTGACTATAGAGAACCCTGACTAATACAGTTTTATTAGCTTGATTTTTTTCTTTTTCCTTTTTTTTTGGTTGTTGTTGTTATTGTTGTTGTTTTTTGAAATAGGATTTCTATGGAGTCCAGGAACTCACTGTGTAGACCAGTTGGCTTCAAACTCAGAGATCAGTGGTTGCACACACCTTTAATCCCAGCACTTGGGAGGCAGAGGCAGGCGAATTTTCTGAGTTCAAGGCCAGCCTGGTCTACAGAGTGAGTTCCAGAACTGCCCAGGCTGTACAGAAAAACCCTGACTCAAAAAACAAAAACAAACAACAACAAAAAACAAACAAACTCAGAGATATGTCTGTCTTTCTCTGCCTCCCAAGTGCTGAGATGAAAGGTGTGGGTCACAACCACCCAGCTATAGCTTGAAATAAGTTTTACACGCAACTAAAGATATGGAAAACATGTTTGCACAAAATCCTGGTTTCTGTGACCTTTCTTTTGTCGTTTGCTTAATTTTTATCCCAAGCGAGCAAGGTTTATAGTGTTTACATTCCTTCTCTGAAGACCTAGCTCAGTGTGTTTTTTTCAATGCTATTCTGCAACATCTCGCCTGCAGAAATTTATTTCCACCATTTAGTATATAAGGGAGTGGCTGGGAATGAATAACTGGAGCCAGTAGGGGATTCTCACGGCTCCTACTCAAAGGTCAAAAGGCACATGACTCTCGAAACCTTGTGCCAATGGCGCCATCTCTCGGCCGGCAGAGACGAGATGCAGTGTAGTCCTCCCGTCAGCAGGGTGCAGTGCGAGCCGGGCAGTGCAGCCTTGCTTCCGCGAGTCACACGCAGGCGCAGACGTGTACTCCCGGCAGCCTCCGCTCTCTTACCCCGCGCGGTGCATCACTTTGCGGACTCCGTGGAGGCTCGGCGCTGCGGCGGGCTCCGGCGGTGGGCGGGCTTCCGCGCAGGGCGGCCGGGCTCCGCGCTGCCGCCGCCGTGGCCCATGGGCACAATCGTCTCGGAAGGCCGGGTGAGTGGCGCCTCGGCGGCCCTGCCAGGCGGTCTGATCCGGTACGGAGACTCGGGTGAGCGCGCCTTCACGGATGCGCTGGACGCGAGGCCGCGGCTCTAGGCCTCGCCGTGAGGGGCGCGGGGATGCGGGCGCTGCACCCCGAGCTGCCCGAGGGTTCCCAGCCCTCCACGGTGGGCTCCTTTAGCCTACCATGCTCCACCCGGCCGCCTAGATCTCCCCTCATCCTGTCCCGATCCACTTGACAGTGGAGAACGTACCTTTCTCCTTTTCATGGCCCATGTCCAGACCAAGTTGTTGGGTCTCTAGACCCCAGTAACCCAGAGTGCGTCGGGCCTCGGACATAGAGAGGCCAAAAAAAAAAAAAAAAAAAAAACCAAACCCTAAAACTTGTTTCCTTCCAGAGCACCTGAAGTAAGGGTTGAGGACGTTGTCTTACCTAGACAGAGAGACAGTTGTATTCCCCGGCATGCTCAGGCCTATGTTAAGGGGAGTTTTAGCGTTCATGTCCCTCCGCTAGCTTTTGAGCTTCTTCTGCTTGGACCAGCTGTGCTGTGAATTCGTGCCGCAAGCTCAGTGATGTAGTTCTCCAGGGGTTAGATCTCTAAGAAGCAGGTTTGAAAACCCAGGCCTGGATTGATCTGAAGAACCAGATTACAAGCTTGGAAAGACCTGGAAGAGAGGCCAATGTTTATTCCGTTTAGAGGAGTTTTATTACAAGTGGAAAGGCTGCACCAATGAGGAAGTGGGAAAGCAACCGCAGAGAAGCGCTGTAGAGTATTCTGCAGTTTAAGGCGGTGACGGGATGAAGAGGGATTTAGAGGGGCGACCATCCTTTGAGAAGTCAGGAAGGGTGGACCATTGACATAAATTCTTAATTGGTAAGGGTGTATAAGGATGGAAAGTATGATTTCCTAGATAATTCTGTTTGTTCTCAAAGTAGGTGAGGCTTGTCTCTCTGCAACAGGTGGCTCTTTTAAATCATTGGAATTCGTTCATATTGGGATGAGCTGTAAGCATTTTGAGATAACAAATTTTAGTAAATTCGAATAAACCTAGCCCAGGGTGGCATATGCCGGGAATCATTTTTCTCCTACCATATGGGTTCTCATTGACCCCCTGACTTGTTATTACATACGAATTTCTCACACATCTTTCCAACAGGGAACAGATCACTCTATTAGGTCATTCTACAAGTCTTTGAGAACAGAAAAAAATCTGCTCTGCCATTTGCTTAAGTTACAAATTACTCTAGTTAGTTTGCTTTTGAAAGCTGTGGCCTATTGGTATCTTGTTAATATGGATGGGAAATTTAAACTGTCAGAGATGGCAGAGCTACACATGGAGGGGAATAAATGGTTCTGTAAAATGTCATCATTAGGCCCTGAATATAAGATACGATTGTATTGTGGATCAAGCTAATAAGTAGACTTGTGATGGTTATTCTTGGTTGTCAGCTTGTATACATCTGGAATTTACTAAAACCCAATGGCTGGCCACACCTGCGAAGGATTTTATTTTATTTATTTTTAGACAGGATTTCTTTTTGTAACAGCCCTGGCTCTCCTGGGACTCAGAGATGGTTCTGAGCCACCATTACAGGTGGTTGTTGGGAATTGAATTCAAGACCTCTGGAAGAGCAACCAGTACTCTTAACCATTGAGCCATCTCTCTAGCTCTTGGATCTTTATAGTTAATGCCCCAAATAGAGAGCTTCCGTCTTACTTCATTATCTGTTCTATAACTGAAGGATTTTACTCATGAACCAGTTCACCATAGTCTTTTAGATTGAGAATTAATTCTAGGCTGAGCATATATAGTAGTATATCCTAGCACTCAATTGGTATAGGAAAGAGTCAGAAATTCAAAGCCAACTTCATCTTTGTGATAAGTTCAAGACCAGCCTGAGCTACATGAGAACCAATATTTTTTTTGTTGTTTGTTTGTTTTTTGTTTTTTTGTTTTTCGAGACAGGGTTTCTCTGTATAGCCCTGGCTGTCCTGGAACTCACTCTGTAGACCAGGCTAGCCTCGAACTCAGAAATCCTCCTGCCTCTGCCTCCCAAGTGCTGAGATTAAAGGCGTGCGCCACCACCGACCAGCTGAGAACCAATTTTAAAAGAAAAATTCTAGAGGACTGCTTTTAAAATCGTGCCCAGGTATAGTTTTGCAGATTAGAAAGAACCATGCATTTGTGACAACAGGGTCCATGGTACAGCTATTTTAACACAGAGACATTCATAACTTGCTTCTGTTTTGCATTATTTAGTCTTTGCCCTTGCTTGTCTTTCAGCATTAAACCAAAAAGATGTCCCTATATGATGACCTGGGAGTGGAGACCAGTGACTCAAAAACTGAAGGCTGGTCCAAAAACTTCAAGCTTCTGCAGTCCCAGCTCCAGGTGAAGAAGGCAGCGCTTACTCAGGCCAAGGTAAGAACGGGCCCAGAGCAGGAATGGGAAAGTCTGCTGAGTTCCGTGAGAACAGTTCCGTTTAAGCTTCCTCTTTTGCCTCCTTGTTGGATAATATAAAAGAGTGGATGGGGAGAGGGGTGGAGAGTTGATTACTTTACTTCTCCTGGCTCTTGGAAACAGCAGGACTGTTTTTTCATGGAGTAGGAATGAAGAAAAGCAGACTTCAACTCAGCTACGAGACTGGCTTTAGACTGGAGTGTGTTGGAGACTTGACTGTGAACTGTTTTCAGATGCTGCTTTCGTACTGGTAGTCCTGATAGTCTCTGGTCTAGGCTGGATCCCAGCCAGTTTGTTGTAGGAAGTTTGGAGTTGAGCTTTGCAGAATAATCAGAGCCACAGTGTGCACCAAGAAAGGCTCTGATATTTGTGAACATACTTAGCATGTTATAGGTGGGAATTACTAGACATGACACTATCTTTGAAATAGTGCATCTTTTTCATTATTTCTATGTTTGTTTTTGACACAAGATCTCAAAATGTGGCCTTGAGCTGTCTGTGCAGACCAAGGTGGCCTCAAATTCACAGAGATCTGCCTGCCTCTGCCTCCCAAGTGATGAGATCAAAGGTGTGCACTACCACATCCAACTGTACAGATATTTTAATGTCAGCTATTAGCAAATATCTTAAGATTGCAAATAGATTTTAATGAGGCAATGTGGAATATTACTTTAAAAAATCGTCTGCTAACCTTCTGATGTGAATTTTGAGGATTCTCTATGTAGTTGATTTCTTATGAGAAAGTGAAGCTGCATTGTATTGTTTCTCTTGGGCTCTTCAGTAAATTTCTCAGAGTACTCACCAAACTTGTAAAAATTTGGTAGAGAAAAATTACTTGTAAAAATTTACCTGTATCTGAAAGATGAAGGTATGGTTTCATCTATATTTTATTTTTGAGAATTTGGTGTTGTTCACCAGCTTGCTGTGAGATATTCTTGTCTATAAGCTTTAACCTCAATCTGAACAGATATTAGATATACTGGGACATAGAGGTATAAGTTAAGGAGACATATGTAGAATAAGCAGCATTTGTAAAAACAGTGTCCCAGGGAAAAAACAAAGAAGGTGGAGATGGTGTCAGAGAAGGGGACTGCTGAAGATGAGGACATCAGAGGGATGCTTAGGAAACTGGCAGGGATGGGGAGATGGCTCAGTGAGTGAAGCCTGATGACCCAAGTTTGATCCTAGAACCCCATGGTGGAAGGAGAGACCCCCGCCTTCACATGTATGCATGCACACCCAAGCATGCGTGCATGCATGCATGCATACATACATACATACATACGGAACAATTTTTATTTAGTTTGGGGTAATCATTCTAAAAGAAGTATGGTAGGACTCACTCTCTGGAGACAGAGAAGTAGATCTCTAAGTTTAAGGCTAGCCATAAAATGGTCACATTTACTATAAACTTTATAGAAAAGTAGGAGAAATCAATACTTTTATAAAAGAGCAAAAAAAAAAAAAAAAAAAAGGCATGAAGATGTAGCTCAGTTGGTAGAGTGTTTGCCTAGTTTTCAGGAAGTCCTGTGTGAACTCCTCTGTATAACCTGGGTTTGGTGATCAGCCAACACTCAGCAACGTGGAGGGAGGCGATCAGGAATCCAAGGTCATTAGCAGCTACATAGGGCACTGGAGGCCAGCCTGCCCTCAGAAAACAGTAAGAAAGAACGCTGTGTTATACTCTTGCTGTTTTAAGGCTGATTTTATCACAGCCTAAGGTTTGTTACAGAGACCAGAAAAGGTGTCTTTGTTGCAAGTAGCGTGAATTTTAATTTGGAAGTTTGGTGTATTTTTCTTGTTTCTGATGTCAGAGCCAAAGGACAAAGCAAAGTACAGTGCTTGCTCCGGTCATCGACCTGAAGCGAGGAGGCTCCTCAGATGACCGACAGATCGTAGACACGCCGCCTCATGTAGCAGCTGGGCTGAAGGTAAACCTGCACCCATCTATGGTTTGAAGTATTTTCCACTTTTATTTTACATGTATGTTCCTCTTTTTATAAGACTTAACCTCATTTTTATTTGTGTGTGCGTGTCCATGGAGGCCAGAGGGGACATTAGATGTCTTAGGGCTGCAGTTAGGCATTTGTGAACATCCTGTGGATGCTGAGAATCAAGCTCCCATCTGTCCTCTGATAGAGCAGTAAGCACTCTTAACCACTGACCATCTTCAAATCCACACAAGGGTCTCCCCAATAGGCCATTGAAACCTAGTATTATTTTCAACTCAATTTTTACTTTATCACCATCAAAACCTTTATTACCTAAAATAGTTTATTATGGAAACGTTGGGAATGAAAAATGGGTAAAAAAGAAAAGCATATCTTTTCAATCATACATACCCTCCAGGCATTATAAAATTACATAATTTTAAAATAACTTCTCTGCCTTCAGCTCTGTAATTTGTTTTTAGTGATTGTCCATCCATCCTTGTCAAAACTATAGATCCAACATGGTCATTTAAACATATTTTTATGTGTGTGAGTGTTTTGCCCACATCCTTCAGTATACTACATGTGTGCCCGTTGCCTGTGCAGATGCATCCCCTAGGATGGAGGTGGAACAGTTGGGAGGCACCATATGGGTGATGGGAGTGAAACCTGAGTCCTCTGGAATAGCAGTCAGTGCACTTAATTATTGATGCATGTCTCCAGCACCTATATGGTCATTTTTAATGGTCTCAGTGGATTGCCTCCAGTAGATTACCTGTAACTTAATTCTTCTAATGTAAACTATAGGGTTATTTCTAATTGTATGTTAACAGTATTGGAACTCATTTTAGAGAAGGGCATTAAAAATAAAAAAATGGACATAATGCTGAGTATCATTGATAGGACTGGCTCCAGGGAAGCAGAAGGCTTAGTTAGGAGTTGTTCAAGTCATCTTTGGCTGTGTGTCTAGTTTGTGGCTCTGTGAAAAACTACCTGGAGGGAGCAAAGGAAGTCTGGAAAATGATAATTCATTTTCACATGTATATTTGTACAGGTGTCATTCTGATGATGACTGTGACAGTTTAAACCTCATTTAAGAGATACTATATTTGTCAGTGCTTTTCTTTAAATAATCTTTCGTGTAATTGCCAGGTTGTGCTGCCGTCTGGTAAGGGGGGGGCCTCCCAGGCACTTGTTGACTCACTAGGAAACGGAGGATCCTTAATCTGGAAAGCCTCTCTCACCTCATCCTGTGACCTTTGCTTCTATGATAACCCTGCAGGATATGAGATGGTACTCACTTAGGTGTTTTTACTTCCTCAGGACCCTGTGCCCAGTGGGTTTTCTGCAGGGGAAGTTCTGATCCCCTTAGCTGATGAATATGACCCTATGTTTCCTAACGATTATGAGAAAGTGGTGAAGCGCCAGAGAGAAGAGCGGCAGAGGCAGCGGGAGCTGGAAAGACAGAAGGAAATAGAGGAAAGAGAAAAGTAAGCTTCATTTTGATTTGGGAGCAAATGTCTTCAGTGTGCATTACAAAGAGTGAATTTTAGTATTGTCTCTAGGCCTGAGGTTATTGTTTCAATCAACAAGAGTTTACTTGGTTTTGGTCCCATCCCACATTGATAGCACACTTGAGATAATTTCTTTGCATGAATTAGAAAACCCCCTGGTATCCAGGTGTGGTAGTGCATGTCTGTAATCCCACCTACATAGTATTCAAGACCAACTCTGTTTCAAAATCAAAACAACAGAAACAAAACAATTGAAACAGAATTTCAATTTGTTGAAATTTTTTCGAGGGTTTGTGACTGCTAGAATCACATTTACAGAGTTTCATTGCTATTCCTTTACTATATTTTGGTTTTGGTTTTTTGAGACAGGGCGTCACTATATAGCTCTGGCTGTCCTGGAAATCACTCTGTAGACCTGACTGGCTCCAAACGCAGGGATCCACCTGCCTCTAGTGCTAGGATTAAAGGCTTGGGCCACTACACTTGGCTTCCTTTCTTGTTTTTGAGCCAGGTGAAATTACATGTGTTTTTTTAAATTTATTTATATTTATAATACTTATAACTTAAAATTATAGGTAATAGGACTTATTTCTTAATTTTTTAATTTAATTTATTCTCCCATATATTAGATTCTGACTATAGTTTTTTCTCCCTCTCTCCTCCCAGTTCCTGAAATCATGTGCCATAATGTCAAAAATTAAATGTCAATTTTTTTCCTATGAATTATACCCATGTATCTGTTAAAGTTGTTCATTTTTTTCTTTTAAATTTTTCTGTTGTATCCATTCCCAGAATATATATAAAAATTGACAATTTATACTCAAAGAACGTTTTTTTTTTTTTTCTCTTTGGGTTTTTTGTTTGTTTCTTTGTCTTGTTTTGCCAAGAGGAAGTCACAATGACATTTAGTCTTTATGTTCTTTCTAATTTACCTGTGGTGGCCATTTGTAACTTTGTCATTACAGGAGGCGTAAAGACAGACATGAAGCCAGTGGGTTTTCAAGACGACCAGACCCAGATTCTGATGAGGATGAAGATTATGAGCGAGAGCGGAGGAAAAGAAGTAAGGCGTGAGCGCAGACAAGCTGGCCTCAGACTCAGCGCTGCCCCAGGCTTTGCTTTCCCTTTCTTGTGAACATGGCTCACTTCACAGTGGTTCTGGATAATTGGGGCCTGGGCCAGTGCTCTAGAGTCCCTCCAGCCCACATTCCGTAGCAGCTCTGGTTTATGCTGTTTAATATATACTCCACTCTGAACTTTATAAACAGGGTGAGACATCTGCTGTCCACTTTGAAAACAGTATTAGTTCTGCCTCTACCCTTCTCCTAACTTGAGGCCTGGTCATCTTTTGCCTCTTGTCAAACCCAGGGGATTTCCAGCCAGCCCTGGGTGGAGGGGGAGACACCACATCCAGAGACCATTTGCCGCTAACTTGGCTGCATCTGAGCATCCATCGAGCCTCTTTCATGTCACCTGCTGCCTGAGAGCAGGGAGATCAGAGTCCACACTGGAGGCTGTGGACCTTCTGTCTACCTACTGTTGTGTAAGAAGGGGTTTGGTTGTGTTTAAAATACATTCATAGCAACAGTTGCAAGCAGTAGCTAATGGTACTTATATGAACAGAATAATCTTGTGGCTTCATGGTGGTGTGCTTGCTGGGACTTTACTTGGCTGGCTTAGTTGGCAGAATCCTCTACTTGTCTATTACCAAACAGATGCTGCCTTAGCATCTCAGACCTTCACAGCTCTGAGCAGAATCTGTTAGCTTGCAGTAGTCTCGGGGACAGAACATTCTGGATATTATAGGCCCACTTTGGTCTTACCCTGAATTTTTTATTTGCCTGAAGCCCTCGTTGTAATTTGTTGTCTCAAACACAAAACCTAAAGATTATGTGTCATGACACTTGGTAACTTCTGTATGTGTAATTGTGTTTCATGATAGTAATACTCTCCCCAGATATATGCTAATGCCTATTGTAGGGTCTAATTTAAAATTTGAATATCTGCTAAGTGGAAAGAACAAGATTATGATGTAAAAATCTTAGTACTTACATGGATGAATGAGTTAAATGTAGTTGTATTGTTGTTTTTGGTTATTGACTTTTAGTTTGGTAGTGGTGTTTGAGACTATCTTATTATAGAGCCCTGAAACTATAACCCAGTCATACCTTAAACTCACAACCGTCCTCCTGCCTCAGCCCCATGAATGCTAAGATTACAGGTTCACACCACCACAGTTCCATTGCTTTTCTTACTTAGAATAATGTTAGTGTTTATTGAATGCACCGTGTGTCTGGTAGTGTTGTAAACTTGATGCATGATATCAGCCACTATTTGATTTTGATTAACATTTTTTCTTTGTTGAATACTTCAAGTCTCATCTTCCCAGCTCATAAAGTGACTGCTATCTTTTTTGTAAGGTGTGCTTTCTGAAAAAATTCCTCTCTTAAATAATAACAGGAAGTATGCAATTTCAGTGAGAAGCTTTGTGTTTGAACTTGTAACTGACAGAGAACCAGCAGCATTCTACCTGTGATGTACACAGTAATCCCACCTTCTCTCAGTGGCTTTAAACTTTTCAAGGTTTTAGTCACTCATATTCTACTGAAGTCTGAAAATATGGAATATTCCAATAGAATATTCTGAGAGGACCTGCGTTTGCAGACTTTTGTTGATATATTGATGAAATTGTTAGTGATTGTTGTCATTCTGTTAAAATGCTTGATCTATGGCTTAGACTTACCAGCGAGCACAGTGGTATGTGACTGTGTCTTGCACTTTGTAATTAGAAACAGGAGCACAAGCTCAAGGCCATGTCTATTAAAAATATCTCTTAAGAAATTTAAGGTTGTCTTTAGGTCTGTATTTCTTGTTACTATATGTCACCTAGTCTGTTCATGACAGTGCATCTCTACTGGCTTTAAGTTCTTTTGTGAAACATTTTGGGCTGATATAGCATGGTTTTATAGCCAATTTCAATTGATCTTACTATTCCACTGATGAAGTCAATACATCTGGTTGGGACACTTGATACAGGGTCCCCTGGTGCTCTAAGTCACAGCCTTCTGCGACTTCCCAAAGTGCTAGAGGGATGGCCAGGACACTGTGTATTTTGGGATTCATATAGTAAAGAATTCCTTACAGTCTATTCACGATACCCTAGTTGTCATGTCTTTCAGTTTGTGTCCATGTTATCTGACCAGCAGACATGGCAGGAATGGTGGCACTGCCTTAATGTATCCTAAGAGCTGGGACTCATACTTACTCCCAAGAGGTGTCGGGGATGTGCTTGATGGGGCAGTGGCTTTGGCATCCCAGGGAACTGGATTTATTCCATTTCTTCAGATTCATTCTCTGATTGTTTTCTCAATTGGAAACAAAATATACTGCTAACCACAGTCCTTGTGTCTTCACAGGTATGGGAGGAGCTGCCATCGCCCCACCGACTTCTCTTGTAGAGAAAGACAAAGAGTGTATGTACATCTCTTTCTTTTATTATCACACAGGTATTTATAGACAGTGAGGATCCTAAGATTGGATCTCTAGTTTACTGAGTTTTGAGCAAAAATAGCCTGGTTTTCAGCCCTGAAGTCACAGTGGCCCTTGCTACTTGCTGCACTTGGGATGCTTTGCTTTGTTCTGTTTGGTTTGCAACAAGGTTTCAAATTTGTAGTACTGACTGCCCTGTATGTGACCTCTGCCTTCTGAATGCTGGGATTAGAAGCATGTACCACCATGCCCAACCCCACACTTGGGACTTTTAAATACCAATCTCAGAAATACAGAGTTGGTTTGGGTTTTTGTTGTTGTTAGAGGTTTTTTGTTTTTTTGTTTTTTTTTAAATTGTTGTTTTGTTTTTGTTTTTTCCTTTGCAAGGTAAGGTTCAAGACAGGGTTTCTCTGTATGGCCCTGACTGTCCTGGAACTTAGTTTGTACACCAGGCTGGCATTGAACTTAGAGATCTGCCTGCTTCTGCCTCCTTAGTGCTGGGATTAAGTGCCCATTCTGAAATGGAGATTTTTATACAAGAAGATAACTTCATTTTTATTGTTATTTTCATCAAGGTTTCATGTTTGTGGTAGGTTCATTTGAAGTAAATAAGAGCAATACTAAACAATAGCTCATGCTCCTTGACTAGAATGAAGGACAATGGCAGGAAGTATTCAAATTCAAGAATAGTCTGTGCTATATAGTGATTTTTCCAGGCTAGCTTATGCTAGAAGAGTATGTGCAGGCAATACACTCATAGACATAAAACAAAAATAAAGTAAGTGAAACAAAACTAAAAGCCATCAGTAGTCTTTTGAAAATATTTATTATTCTAATTTTTATGTGTATGAGCATTTTGCCTGTCTAACAAATCTCACATAGGCAACAGATTTTGTACTGGGTTTAGAGCATGACTGAGCAGCATTTGTCTACTGTATTGCTAAGCATGCCCACCCACTGTCAGTTCTCCTGGACTGGGCTTTGTCCTGCGCTTTGTGTGCAGTCATGCCTAAACTTTGGCTGGGCCTGCAGAGATAGCTCAGTGGTTAAGAGCACTGGCTTTCTTCCAGAAGACCCAAGTTCAATTCCTAGCACTCATATAGTGGATAACAGCCATCCATAACTCCAGTACTAGGGAATCTGACACCTTCTGTCCTTCATGGGCACCAGGCATGCATGCACATGGTACATAGAGATACATGCAGCGAAAACACTCGTACACCTGAAACAAAAATAAAACAAATAAAATTAAAAGCCTGTCTTAGTCAGAGTTTCTATTCCTGCACAAAACATCATGACCAAAAAGCAAGTTGGGGAGGAAAGGGGTTTATTCAGATAACACTTCCACATTTCTGTTCATCACCAAAGGAAGTCAGGGCTGGAACTCAAGCAGGAGCTGATACAGAGGCCATGGAGGGATGTTACTAACTGGCTTGCTATCCCTGACTTGCTCAGCTTGCTTTCCCAAGCTACCAGCCCAGGGATGGCACCACTCACAATGACCCTCCCACCCTTGATCGTTACTGGAGAAAATGCCTTACAGCTGGATCTCATGGAAGCATTTCCTCAAGTGAGGCTCCTTTCTCTGTGATAACTCCAGCTTGTGACAAGTTGATACACAAAAACAACCAGTACAAAGCCATCAATAATCTTTTGAAAATACTTGTTGCATTCTAATTTTATGTATATGAGTGTTTTGCCTGCATTATACCTGATACCTGTAGAGGTTAGAATAGGTCATTGTATCTCCTAGAACTGGATTTATGAAGGTTATGAGCCACTGTGTGGTGCTGGGAACTGAACCTGGGCCCTCAGTATGATAGCCAGTGCTCTTAATCATTGAGCCACCACTTCAGCCCCAATGGTCTTTAATATACATTATACTATTTATTATGTTTTAAAGGAAGATAATTTAAGAGTATGGTTAAATATATATTGTACAAACAAAGCACCTTGACAATGACCCAGTTTCTGAGAGCAGGGCCTGTGTCTGCTGTCTGTAAAGCTTCCTGTTGATGCATACACTCAGGCACACACATGACATAATGAGAGGATCTAAAAACGAATCTCCGAACAGTTCCTGGTGGCTGTGATGCCTGTGGAGATAGGGACAGCATTCTCTAGGGAAGAGAGAACATGACAAATGTAGGTTGAGTCAGTTCCAGGTTGAGAGTGGAAGCTAGCAAAGCCTCTGTGGTTTTTGCAAAGCTGTGGTGAGCCTACTTTACTTTTCTTCAACAGTGCCCCGAGATTTTCCTTATGAAGAGGACTCAAGACCTCGGTCACAGTCTTCCAAAGCTGCTATTCCTCCCCCAGTGTATGAGGAGCCGGACAGACCAAGATCTCCAACGGGTCCCAGCAACTCCTTCCTTGCTAACATGGGGTAAGTGCTGAGTATCCTTTCTAACTGAGAGAATGTTGAAGTGGCTTAAGACGAAGAGGTTGGGTGTGGCCCAGTCCTGCAATCCCAGCACCTTGAAGATAGAGGTAGAAGGAGTTGTAGTTTCAGGCTAGCCTGGGCTACATAGTGAGACTGAGATACATTGTGAAGTGGTTGCTTTTTTTACATAGGTAGAACTCATTTGAAAATGAAGCCACTTGGATTCTAGGGAAATACTTGTTTGGTCCCATGTTGCTCTATGAGGATTAGTGTTCATACCATGCTGAGTGTTTTCCAAACCAGTGAGGGTTTATACAAAGCAGCCTCTGGTAAAGTCATGGATGGTTTAGACACATTTTGCTATGTAGGAGAAGTTTCTGATAATTACATCATTTCTCATAACATGCAAATAAAATAGCTCATAGGAATTAGAGATGGTCCATGTTATCTCCAAAGGGTGAGGGGCACTGGCTTTTCCTGAGGGAACGGGTCATCTGCCGTAGACTGTGGTCTTACAGCTTTGGTTTTAGGAATCTCTGCAGGCTGGAGATGCAGCTCAGTGGTGGATAGTCTGCTGCTGTACACTAACCCTGTCTTTGTCGCTAACCACTCCCCCTCAAAACAAAAAACGCTTGTCATTCTAACTATAGTGCTTGTCATAGTAAGGGAAAAAAATCCATTTTATGATTGACATTTGAGTAAGACTAGTGGATTTTATTTGTTTGTTCGGAGGTGGTATCTCCTTCTAGCCCAGGTTGGCCTCAAACTCACTATTCTTTGGCTACTACTTGCCTCAGTCTCTGGAGTGTTAGAATTGCAGGAGTGTGGGGCCACTGTATTTTATTAGTGTTCTGATGCCATGAAAGACTTCTCAGGTGGTGCTGCCCTAAATTTTTTGTTCCATTATGCTAAACAGAATGCTGCTTGTAGTACAGGTTCTGAGGACTCTCAGGAGGTACTAAAGTAAGAGCTGGAGTAGATAGCTGGCCTCATGGACAGCAGGGGGACTTTTCAAATTCTTCAGTCACACGATTTCAGCTGCACTAATGGAGAGTACATTTAGCAGTACAAATGTCGGTGCAGTTCCAGTACACTGTCTTAGAGGAAGGTGTGCTGGAGGGAAAAGGAAGGGGAGGGGCTTCTGGGTCTTGTCCTTCCTGCTTACCATAAAAATGTTCGCTTTATTTGATTTTCATTTAAAGAAGAATTGGATTTTTAACTTGTACTTAAGAAAGCTCCAGTGTAGTACAGTTTAGCCTTTGTAGAAGTGTGCTTTGCCCTGGAATAGATTGTTCAAAAGGAACTCTGAAAGAATTACAAAACACAAGCAGGTACAACTCTAGTGAAGCTGGGCTTCATGATCCAAAGCCAAGCAGGTCTCTGGGAACACCCTTGAGACCTTTGGACACTAGGAGTAAATTGCTGTCCTCTTGGAGAAAGCAGCAGACCAAGAATCCAATTCCATTAGTGCCCTTGACACCGGAAAAGGTTTTTCAAATGCTACCTTTCTTTGCTGCTATAGATGCAGTGTGTTCTGGTGTCAATGACATCAGCTCTAAGGATCCTTTTCCTTTCCTTGCAGTGGCACAGTGGCTCATAAGATCATGCAGAAGTATGGCTTCCGGGAAGGTCAAGGACTGGGGAAGCATGAGCAAGGGCTGAGCACTGCATTGTCCGTGGAGAAGACCAGCAAGCGGGGCGGCAAGATCATTGTGGGTGACGCCACAGAGAAAGGCGAGTCTCAGGGTAAGTTCACAGAGCATGTGGGTCCTTCATTCCTGAGGGATGGTGCATCCTCCCTTGGGAAGCAGTGACTGCTAGTTCTGTCTTAGGACAGAAGCCTTGAAACTTGTCTTTATGTTTCAGAACCAAGACACACATAACTATGCTTGTGGGAGCAAAATTTCCCAGCCGCTTTGATTAGGCAAAAAATCTGTAATCGTTATAGCTTGATAAAATACTTAGTGGTTGTGTTTGCTTTGTCCACACCTTCAGTGGATCTCAGGCTTTTTTTTTTTCAGTGTAGAGTGGTTTTTGTTTACGAATTTACATATTCATTTGGTGAGGCCTAGAGTCCGCTCATCTGAATTCCCTTTCCTAAAGTATGGTAGACTCGACTGACGGTCCTGTTGGTGCACAGCCTCAGCAGCAGCCAGTTGCCCGAGTGCTAGCTGCTACCTTAAAAAAGGGGGGGAGGGGGATGATCCCAATTTACAATAGTATCTAAAGCCAACTTAGCTAGTAGCTAGATAGTTAATTGTCTGTGCCAGCAACCTAAACTGTTACTCCAAGGGTTATCAGTAAATATTATAAACTGTGCTCTGCCAGCCCTTCAGGAAGTAAAATGAGCAAAAGATGGTGGGTAATGGTAGAAGCTAGAAACTTTCAGAAAAACCATAAATACATATATCAAAGAAGAACATGTTTTTACTGCAGGGACTGGTTGCATAGATGCTTTTATAGATGACTCTTGGACACAAGTGAAAAAGTTGGTATTGTAATTGAATTAGTCTTGTACTGGGACTCAGTAACACTTCTTAGTTTCATTTCCTGTTGCTGTGGTAAAATAACCTGGCAAAAGCAACTATGAGAGGAAGTGTTTATTTGGCTCAATCTAAGTCCAGGTTACAATCCATTACTGAGGGGCAGTCAGGGCACCGGGTACTTGAGGCAGCTGGTCACATAGCAATGTAGTTGGGAGTGGAGAGGAATGAATGAATGCATACTACCTAGTCTTGGTTTACTTTTCCCAGCCTTGTGTGGTCTAGGCCCCCAAACTGCAGGGGTCCTCCCACTTCAACGATTGTTACTAAGACAATATCTCAGACATTCTCAGAGGCCTTTCTAGACCTCTGGGTTTAGTTATGTCTAGATTTTGTATGTCTAGATTTAACTAGGACAATTAAAACTAACGATTATAGTGTCTCATGTTTTGATACAGATGCATCCAAGAAGTCGGATTCAAATCCATTAACTGAAATTCTTAAGTGCCCTACTAAAGTGGTCTTGCTGAGGGTAAGAAGTAAAAGAAACCTGTCCCTTGATTCTGTGTCATCCAACTACCTGTCTTTACAGGCGTTCACAAAGTCCCACTGGTATCCTATAAAATACTGAGACTATGGGCTGGAGCATGGCTCAGTGGTTAAGAGCATGCAATCCTTTTCCAGAGGACCCGAGTTGTTTTCCCAGCATCCACATGGTGGTCCACAGCTGCCTATAACTCCAGCTCCTGGGGATCTACCCTCTTCTGGCCTCTTGAGGGCACCAGGCAGTCAAATGGTACACAGACATACATTCAAGCAAAATGCCTGTACATTTAAAAAGAACAATAAATTTTTGAAAAGATTACTGAAAATGATACTTTAGCAAATAATACCTTTGGGTAGATCCTTACAGATGGGTTTTAGGTTATCCTCTCAGTAAAACGTTACATTGAGACTGCAGTGACTAATTTGTTAAAATGATTAGAAATTTCTGAAACATCCTTTTAGGTGTTTGGTGGACAGATACTCTTGTAACACTTTTCCAAGCTTCCTGTCTGTTCACAGAAATGCCAGCTTTAATACTTTAGAGGTAGAATTTTCCATTCTCTCTTTTGGGATTAGAACATATCCCGAATCTAGGATGGGGCTCAGTGTTGGAGTACTTCCCAGTGTGTGCAAGGTTCTAGTTCTGGTAGGGTAGAGGGGAGAGAGCATTTGCCTTTATGAAAGAAAGTGTTATTTCTGAAACCTGTAGATATTTGTAAATTATGCTTGTATTTGTTTCTCTGTATATAGAACATGGTTGGTGCAGGAGAGGTCGATGAAGACTTGGAAGTTGAAACCAAGGAAGAATGTGAAAAATATGGCAAAGTTGGGAAATGTGTGATATTTGAGGTAAGGAGATATAATTTGTAATTGGCAGGTTATAAATCCCCCTCTACAAGTGGCACTGGTCTAATAACATTGTCTCCCTATAAAAAGCAATGCATATCAGTTAGACTTTTTGTAATGCTAGGTGGGTTTTGCTTGTTTTGTTTTTAAGACACAGTCTCCCTTTGTAGGCAGGCTGACCTTGAGCTCATAGAGATTTCCTGCCTCTGCCTTCTGAGTGCCAGGACTAAAGGCATGCATCACTACTCCCAGCTATGTGTTAACTTTTAAATGTAAAAACAAAAGTAGATTTTATTTAGTAGTATAATACAAATGTTTTATTGCATCATTTCGCAAGTATTTAGTTACTCTCATGGAGCCCATTTTTTGTTTGTTTGTTTGTTTTTTCGAGACAGGGTTTCTCTGTATAGCGCTGGCTGTCCTGGAACTCACTCTGTAGACCAGGCTGGCCTCGAACTCAGAAATCACCTACCTGCCTCTGCCTCCCAAGTGCTGGGATTAAAGGCCTGTGCCACCACTGCCTGCCTGAGAACATTTAAGACACCAGAAATGTGTTGTGTTCTCAGGGATATGTTCAGATGAAGAGACAGCACATAACAAACAACCAGGAAATACAAACTAGTAGACCTAATAGTGTTGACTATAAGTGCAGACCTTGAGAACGGTGCTAGCCTAAACAAACGGAGAAGGCCTTACTACCTTCACTTGTGAGCCAGGCATTGAATGGAGTGTGGAGAGTGACAGAGGAAGGGGCTTAGGCTGAGTGAGGACTCCTGAGAACCAGTTGAACTTGTGCTTACATACATGACATGAAGCCATATTTGGAAGGCTTGGACCCCTAAACAAAGCTAGTGAAAATGCAGTCCTGTGTGTAGCAGTAGCTTTCATTGCTGCTACTGCTGCTTCACCCTGGGTCTGCTGACTGTATGACACTTGATTACATGCTTCCTCCAGACTCTGCTTTAGTTATGTGTTCCTAGTCCCCAACACAGTACCCTCAAAAAAAATTAGTACATTTTTCTGATATGATCAATTTATTTCTTTGATGGTTGACCACTTTTGTCGTGTGTGTGTGTGTGCGCGTGTGTGTCTGTGTCCGTGTATGTGTGTCCATGTCCTTGTGTCCGTGTGTGTGTGTGTGTGTGTGTGTGTGTGCGTGCGCGCGTGCGCACGCGCGCGCATATGAGTGTACATATATATTAATAATTGAGATTAGAGTGTGTGCACGAACACAGCTCTACCCTGCCTTCCTTTCCATTCTAGATTCCTGGTGCTCCTGACGATGAAGCAGTACGGATATTTTTAGAATTTGAGAGAGTGGAATCAGCCATTAAAGGTTTGTTCTACTGTCAAAGAATTTAACAAGGATTAAAGTTACTATTTGTTTCCATGTCTTTCAAGATTCCTGTATTAACTAATTGTCGTTTTGTTTACTTTCAGCTGTTGTTGATCTGAATGGGAGGTATTTTGGTGGACGTGTGGTTAAAGCATGTTTCTACAATTTGGATAAATTCAGGGTCTTGGATCTAGCAGAACAAGTTTGATTGTAACTTAAAGTCACCTCCTTGATCCTTACATGAGCTGCAGACTGAGCAATGACACAGGCGTTAGCCTCTATGGCTGTTGGACACTGAAACTCTTGGATGGACTTCTAAGATATATGTTGATGGATCCCTTTTTTATTTTGTGTTTTTTTTAATATAGTATAAAAATCCTTTAAAAATCTGTGTGCTCTCTGGTTGTTTCTCCTGCTTCTGTTGATTGTTTCTGCTGGGACGTCTGGCTGTGCCGCGTGTCTGGCACTGCAAGGCCTAGGAAGGCTAGGAAGGAGTTTGCATTAAATCATCCATTCCTCCGTCCTGGTAAAGCCTTCACACTGGAGCTGCAGCTCCCGCATCGTAAGATGAAGTCATCTCGGCCTCTGCTTGAGGTGAAAATGCTTGCTTTCTCTAGTAGAGAAGTCCACTGACTCTGGAAAAACTCTTAGCCTGAATTATGATTGAGGAATCAAGAGCCCAAGTGACCTGGCTTGAGCCGTTTGCTGTTTAAGCCAAACTACAGGGTTTGCTATGATTATGAAATATATGGGTATGGAAATCATTTTAGGATGGATTTAACTCAGATCCAGAAGGTACTTATAAGTGTGTACCCAGCTACTTTGGGGATATATCAACAAAATCTGAAACCCTTAGTGCACACACAAGTGAATGGAAGAATGCATACAAAAACAATAATAAAACCTAATTAAGATGAGTTTTGTGATCAAAGTATATTGTATGCGTTTGGGTTAAATAATAAAGGTGAAAGAATTCTGTAATTGGGACCTTTTGTAATTTTGTAATTGGGACAGTCAAAAGCAGCTGTGACGTTTATGGCAGTCTTACCTATGGATGTAGGCGTGAATATTAATATAAATAGCCCTGTATGCTTCCAACTACCCAAATGCTGAATGATGACTAGTTCTGTGTCGTCTCTAATGCAGGGAAGGTGCAAGCTGCCATCTTGAGTGCTTGCCTTAGGCCTTAGGATACTGGTCCTTTGTACTAAGTGGCATTTCCCGGCATTCTTAGCAGCAGCAGCTAGAGGATGCCAATGACATAAGAGGTTCCTTTTTATTAGTACAACATAACTTCATGATCTTTTGACTAGTCTCTCTGTAATTGTATAAATCATTCCTAACTGTATTATTGAATGCATTCTTGTGTGGATTTTTGTTCACCAGATGGTTGCTTTTGCTGTTTTGAAGACAGGTCCAGGCTGGTCTTGAACTCATTTTGTAGCTGAAAATGATCTTGAGTTCCTAGTCCCTTGGCTCCCAAGTGCCAAGATTTCGTTTAGGTTCTACTATACTCAGCAGGGGGCGTTGCGATAAATTTCTGAGTGTGGAATGATTTAAAATGTGCTAGTCAACAAGAGACAGGACAGTCTAACTGGTTAGGTTCAGTGTGATGCACATTGATCGTTCTTTAGTTTACAGTGGAGGTCAAATTCACACACTACAGCAGGAGATTTGAGGTGAGAGGAAGATTTATACAAGTTATTGCTCCCTTCTACCATGTGGGTACCAAGAATCAAGTCCATATAACTGCCCTCCTCACTCAGTGAGCATCTCACTGGCCCTGACATTTGTCCATGATCTCCTGTATGTAATCTTTTGAAAACCTTGAGTTTAGGGAGTTTTTTTTCGCTCTTCCTTCCTAAGAGAGAATCTTCCCATTAGGTTTGGACTTTAGCTGAGAAAAGCACCCAGGAGTCTTCCCTTGCTTTGACAAGAAGTGATTGACAGCTAGAATTTCAAATGACAAATCCTCAAGGATGCAAATGAGATTGACAAGAACTCACCTTCCCAAGACTGAAAATCTGGTGACCCCAGTTACTTGGTAAAACATTTAGCCAAGCCAGGTACTGGTGAGGCACACCTTTAATTTCACACACAGGAAACAGAGCAGGCAGGTCTCTGTGAGTTTGAGGCCAGCCTGGTCTACAGAGTGAGTTCCAGGACAGCCAGGGCTACACAGAGAAACCCTGTCTCAAAAATCCAAAGAACAAAATCGTTGAGGCAAACATACTTTGCTCAGAAGTTCAGAACAGTGATGTTGGGAAAGGAGACCAGAATGTTGGTGAGTGTCAAACGAAGACTGCAGGGTTCAAATCTCACTCACTAGCTATCTGAAAATGGTAAGTGGAAATGATAGTTATATCAACTTAAAATTATTAGGAAAATTCAGTAAATGATGCATTATCTGTTAAACGGTTTTTAAAGTTCTTTTTTTCCTTATGATTTTGGAGATTGGAGTGTAAAGTCAGGGTGCCAGCAGCTTGTTACCAGGTGTGACCCAGTCCTTGTCCATCAGTGGTGGTCTTTCTTTCTTTCTTTTTTTTTTTTTTGTTTTTTTCGAGACAGAGTTTCTCTTTGTAGCCCTGGCTGTCCTGGAACTCACTCTGTAGACCAGGCTAGCCTCGAACTCTCGAACTCAGAAATCCGCCTGCCTCTGCCTCCCAAGTGCTGGAATTAAAGCCGTGCGCCACCACCGCCCAGCAGTGGTGGTCTTTCCACATGTGTAAACTACTAACATTTGTTGTGTGGGGTTTCCACAGCCTTCACTTACTCACATTAGAGTGCATTGAACATCCTGTGAAGTTTTAATGGCTTCTGACAAATCTTTAATCCTGTGTATTCCTCATGGTATACAGAATTCCATTCCCTACCCTAAAAAAGTCTCTGCTTCACCTACTTTTTAACCCAGTCCCACTTCTATCCTGGTAGTGACTGATGTGTTTAGCATTAAGAGTTTTGTGTTTTCTGGGGTATCATACGGTTGTAATCATATGGCATATGCCTTTTTTCCAGGCTGACTTTTTTTATTTTGTTGTGGAGCTTGCACATCAGTAATCCCATCACTGTACCTAAGCACAGCCTGGACTATGTGGTGACAGTTCTGTTTGTTTTTGTTTTTTTAGATTCATCCATATCTTTTTGTGGCCTGACAGCTTGTTTCTCTTTGGTTTTGCTTTTTTGTGAGAGTCTAATATAACTCAGACTGCCTTGAACTCCTAATCCTCCTGCCTCTGCCTCCAGTGCTGGGCTAACAGGAATTCTTTCCATGCTCAGCTAATTTCACATGAGCAGTATTCCTTTGAGCAGCTTGCACTGTACTCACCTGTTGAAGGACATCTTGACTACTTCTAGTTCTTGGCAATTAGTAAAGAAAAAGTTATAGTTTGTTAGGACTCTGTCAGGCAGTGTGGTTAAGACTATTTATCTTTTGTCACACAGGTACAGAAACATACCCAAGTCTCACTTTTAGCAGAACCCATTTAGGGGAAAACTCTTCAATTTTAGCTCTTTTTAATGTCTTCTTCCCTCTCCTCAGAATCACCTATTCATTGCCTCTATCTCTTCATTTTTTATTGCCCCTTGTAACTTTAACTTTTTTCAAAGCTTACTTTTAGTGACGCTTCTTCTTAAATGCTTTAACCTCCCTTTTAGCCCACCACCCACCAGAGGTAGTGGGAAAGAAAGGATACGGGGGAAGTAGACCCGTTTAGAAAGGGGTCCACAAACTCCTGTCTGTGTTGTCTAGAAATTGACAGTTTAGTTCACAGGTCAGCAAACGCAGCTCAATCCACTTGAAAACATTTTTCAGATATACCAGTTGGGTAGAGTCAGGATAGCAAACAGGAATCAACAGTTGTGGCACTACCTAGTAGAGACAGCCAGGCCTCAGAAGAATCAGCATGAGTCAGCAGAAGGGATTTGGACCAACAGGGAAGCCAAGAGAAGTTCTTGGCCTTGCCTCTCACAGCAAAGTGAAGATTAGAAGACTTTAAGACCAACAAGCCTTGCACACCTAGCCTTACCAGCAAGTCAAGCTCAGCCCTGTCACTGTTGAGTCCTATTTATAGTCCCTCTAAACATCACAGGTCCTCCACTGGTCTGGCCTCAGAATGTGTCTTGCTTCAACACAGACGTCTGTCACAGTTGATATCACTCTGCCAATCAGCCCCCGTCCCAGGAAGCAGCAAGAAATCGAGGGGTGCATTTCTATGGAGTCCACTTGGAGCTCAACTAAGCTATGTAAGACTGCTTGTTAATAACATTATAACTTGTTAATAACTTGTTACTAACATGCTTGCCTGCTTGTTATTAGCAAAGAATCCTTCATCACGTGTTTGCTTTAGTGGAACCTCCCTTCACGAGTCTGCCTTAGCTTTTTACCTGTGTCCACTTCAGCTAAACATTCCTTCACATGTTTGCCCCAACCAAACACTGTCCAACACAACTGACTTTCCAAAGAACCCTCAAGTTTCCACTTCAGTCCTTTCTATTGTATTTGATTACAAATTAAATCTCTTCTCTTCAACCCCCTGGATTGCTGTTAAAGATTGGCATGACCCACATCTAACAGTTTATGGCAGTTGATACATTTGGCCACTCCCTTCTTGAGGTGTGACCCCCCTCCTGTTACTGTGTTACCCTTTACCACCTTTCCAGTGCTTAAACCTACTCTCCTGACCTTCAGACTCATTTTTTTTCCAGTTATTACAAAAGGAGGTCTCATTACATAGTAGACCTCAAACCCCTCATTAACACTGTATCTCATGCCCCACACTTGGCTGAGTTTTCTCTGTTTAAGTTTTCTGATAAACTCTAATTTGGAGAAAAATATCTCTTCTGAGAAACCTAGGAATGTTCTAGAATTCCCCTTTAATCTCAGTCTGAGTAGCAATCACGATACATTGGTTTTCTTTTCCATCTTTCCTATTAACCCAGTGGAGTGTAGACCCTCCTCATCTCTGTTCTCTGGCCAGGTATTGGTGTCCCTATTTTTAATATTATATTCTTTTAGTCTGCCCAGGTAATGCATGGCCTGTTCAAACAGCATAGATAAAAAGCTCTCATTCTCCATAGCCAACTCCAGGTGTACTACAGTGGTTCCTGGTACCTTTCTTTGGCTTTTATTCCTGTTTTATGACATCCTCATGAAATGGAAACTTAAGGGTTCTTTGGAAAGTCAGTTGTGTCGTATGGTGTTTTGTTAAAGTAAATATGTGAAGGAACATTTCATTGAAGTAGACTCATGAAGGAAAAGGTTCTGTTAAAGCAAACACGTGATGAAAGAGTCAACACTAAACACCCATTGATTGGTCCACTTTAAATTGCATTGCGGAGTTGAACTCCATTTGTCGGGACTCCATACAGAGAAACGCACCAAAAAACTTCTGG